TCTCTGCTCCTATGATGCTGCTTGGCCTGCTGTGTTCATCCAGCCCTACACCTTGTTCTCTAAGGTTAAGGTGAGATTTGATAGAGATGAAACAACTGCCACTGGTGGAAGGATAGCTAACCAGAGAGTAGATGATAAGAGGTAGATTTAGCAGCCAGTTGTTATGATTCTGAAGGGGTGATGGAAATAACTTTCAAAAGGAAATTGGACATGTACCTGAAAAAAGTAAACTTTAAAGGTCATGGCAAAACAGTAGGGAATTGGATGAATCAGATGTCTCTTTAAGAGCATAAGTCAGATCAACGACTTCCGAAAAGCGACCATAAATCGATGTAATCATAATCGCTTACTTTTCTCCAGGGGCTGAATCTCACCATGTTTTGGCAAAATGTCATGAGTTTACTCGTGCGATTGTCCCAAACCTGCCTCATTAACTATCTACGCCACCCTTATGGTCCAACTCCCATTAGATACAAGCCAGATTCTCCTGCATGTTGTTGCTAGAAATACTGACTAGTGAATGGATATCTGAGCGCACCAGGGCATCCCTGGCGCTAGCGCCATCTTGTAAAAGCCATTGTGCCCTCAGACAAATGCTGGTATCCCAATGCTGCCCCGCATGACTGCAGACACTCCATGAGACCATGGTTGATAAGGGGAAATTGGTGCCGCAGTTCACCAACAGGAATCTAGATGTCATGGTGGACACAGTGGTGAGAGGAGGTCTGAACACTTGCCACAGAACTGGCAGAGGAGACCATGACACCAGACCCTGCTAACTGGTCCGAAGTCATCACCCAGGTCTGTGTGGTCTCCCTCATCTGGTGAAATGCTCAGCAATCGAGGAAGAAGACGGTCAATGACCTTCTGCTATTGCAACCACCTCCCTCCATTGCACTCATTGCAAGGCTTATGCTCCAACACTCTTATTATTGTATACAACATCCTTGCTCCCTCACTCTCACCCACCCCAAACTCCCAGGATACTAACACAACATGCCCTCTGTGCTGCCCACTCAAGTACTCAGGGCACCTCACCACCTTTCTGCCATCTGCAGCAGAACCAGCTGTGCCACCCACTCAATCCCTCCCTTTAGCTCCTTCACAGGAGGAAACAGACCATGACAGGGCCGAAAGGACCAGGAGAGGCAGCAGGGTGCCTGGCAGCTGCCTTCTCAGCCCCTGTGAGGAAAGAATTAGTCGCATCCTGCTGAGATGCCAAGACATCAATATCAGTCAACCGACTCAGAAACAATGTTCATTGTGGTGCGTTTCTCACATTAAGCCTCTTGTCAATGTCATTTTTCCCCTGACAATTCTTAATGCCTTATTCATGATGCCTTCTCTTTGTTGTGTCTTGTAGGTACCAGCAGCATGTCCATTGTCTTAGCAGAGCGTGGAGCGATAACACGTCCCTGCAGCAACTCGGTGGGTATGTTAGCCAGATTTGAGTCAGATGCATGTACTGGTGAGCACTTCATTGCCTTGTCTCTGCAGCTGGCCAAGGAAGAAACTTCCCAGGTCATTGGCACTTGCAGGTCTGCCAGGGACCTGCCACTTGCTCTGCCCCGGGCAGGAGGGTTTCCATGGTGTCAGTAGTTAGGGACTTCATTGCCATACACTAGCAGATATAGCAGCTGCAGGCATGTGGGTGGCAAGTACATAAAATTTGTGCCACATATCCTTTTAGCAGTATAATTTCAATGTGTACAATTAACAATGAATCTGCCCATATATATATATATAAAGACACACACACACACACGCACGCACGCACATACACATATATATTGAACATTGTGAAGAAATATACCACACAAGAATAGTCTTTTCTGCCTACTTAATTGAGGGAACTGAAGGCGTGAAATACAACAGACGGAATCTTTTTTTTTTGGTAAGTGCGAGTTTGGTGAAGTTAATTCTCAGGACCAGCAGTGTAAGTCACCACACCAGAACATGCCAGCCTGCTCTGAAGTTGCCACCTGTGTTGAACACTTTCATCCATCCGGAGGAATGCCCAACACAGTAGGAAGAAGGTCAATCCCCTTCCCCACTCTGCCAACATAGGTGCTACTACTTCCCTCTGATA